TGTGGCCTGGGAGCCAGAATTTCAAGCCCTAGCACCCATGTCTTCCAGAACCCAGGGAACATTGCAAAGTAGGTGAGTGTTGCCGTGGCTGTACTGTTGTGTTCTTGCATTCCCCCATCTTCTTGGATATGCATCGTTTCCTTTATGCTTTCTTACTCAGATTTGCCTCCACAAGAACATCTTGAACTTTAGATGGGGAAATTTGGAACTGAAAAGTTAAAATTATACATAGCATGTGATTGCCTTTACAATTTGAGAGTTTACTCGTGGTATACGCTTTGCCTCATAACCACCGTGAGAAATAAAAGATATGTACTTGTACAGTTAAAGAAACTAAAGTACACACACACACCACACAGACACACACACACACACACACACACACAGACTGACTATTCTGCAGTTAGTATTCCTAGTCAGAATTCTTTCTGTCTTCAGCTTGCTGGTTCTTTATCCAATATTTCATAATCTACTTTTCAGAATAAAAATATGATAGTGGAATATCAAGTAATAGAAAATTTATTTCTGACAAACAATAAATCCCCTTAAGCCCATCAGTCGAGTCAGCACTATGGGGAAGAAAATCTTTAGCCTTGGTATCTAGTTAATGCTAAGTTTGGGTCTAATCTGCTACATGAAAATATGGCCCCATCATGCAACTGTTCAAAGCCCTGTTTCCACCGTGTTGCCAATGTGACTAGCCTGCTGCCTTGTGTGACTGTGAAGATCAGTGGGAAGGACCAGTAGCTGTGACTAGAGCTTTGGAAAGTTGAGGATGCCAGGCACCTCTCTCCTTGTGGCTGAGTTCAGTGTCCCGGATGATTTGAGGAAAGGGGAACAGCCACTCTGCTAGGAGACGGGCAGCAGTAAGGGGCTGGAGGAGCTCCCATGTGCATGGAGGAGAGAAGTGACTCTCGGACCTCCAGAGCAGCTCTTCAGTCCGCTCTGCATGAAGACACAGAAGGGTTAAGCAAATTGCCCGCACAGTTGCCTGATCTGATTTCATCCAGTACTTACTAGACTATGACGTCCTTGCAAACAAGAACCATGTGAAATGGTTTGGACAGAATGTGACTGCCCGACTTATACAGATGCTGAAACCCCAAAAGTCTTACTTTAATGGTACATGGATTAATGTTAATAGTTGATGGATTGAGGGTGGAGGCTTGATCCAATTATGCTGTCTGGGAGGAGAGCCTTGTGGGAGGTCTTTGGGCCCTTGGAGGCTTGTCCACAGAAGGTGATTCTTGTGAGAGGATTGGTTATATAAACGGAGCTGAATTCCTGTCTCTCTCTGCTTCCTGTCTCTCAAAGGAGCCTCTCACTGCCTTTGATCTGCCATCTACTGTTTTCATGAGAGTGCTGGGTTTTGGACTGTAAGTTTTCAAAACCACAGGGCACAATAAACTTACTTCCTTCATTAGTAGCTTCTCTTAAGTGTTGTACTTATAGCGAGGGAAAGCCTGACTTATATGTCACGCCTACTCTGTAGGATTAAAATGTTTGCAGAGGGCCTATTTGCTAGACAGTACTATGTGAATGAATCAATGAAATGCTATGCCCATCTACTAGGGAGATAGGTCATTTTCTTCCAGAACAAATCAAAGGTGGGCTCAGATTGAGAGAAAATGAGAATGTCAAGTTATTGTAGGGATGGAAAATGTGAGTTGTGTTGGGTTTCTGTGACCAAGGTGATTATAAGGAATGCCCAGTTCTTCTCTTCTGCACAAACTACACATCTTAGGCCAGACTGTCTGGGACACTGCTGATCACAGGAAGTTGACATTTCCTAAAGCTGCTTCAGAAGAGGAAAACTTTGGAGCCAGGCATTGAGAATTTGGACTTGTTTTTAAAAGCATGCTCTAACCCTTCGCAAAGGTAGGTTGGTGAGTGGGTTGCCTGACCCTCCTGGTCTTATAGGTGAAATGGGGACCGTGGTGGTACATAGCTCAGAGCACTCTTATCGTGGTCCTGTGAATTCAAGTGCCTGGGGCGCTTTGCACACTTCCGGGCTCCATGTGAGAGTTCAGTGAGTGGTGATCCTTGCTTTTAAAGCCTTATCTTACCTTACTGGATCCATTTAGGAACACACAATCTGGGATTTGGGGTTGGAAGCCACGGGAGGCTTATGCAGCAGCGCCACCTGGTGCCCACTTTGCCACAGTGGTAACCTACAATTTCCTAAGGGCAAGACAAAGATCCTGGGAGAGAAGATTGCTGCGGACTTTCGGGGATTTAAACGAAAAGGGTCTTATGGTATACGAGAGGAATTTCTCATCATTATTGTAAAAGACACTCCTTTACAAAATTTCCAGAGATAATCAACTCTATTGAGATGAAGTTTGAGCTGAATCATTTTTATACTAGCTTTGGAAAGCATCTAAATGTTGCTTTTGTTAGTATCCTTTAACAAAAAAAAAAGATTATGAAACACGAACTTTGTTACAACTATTGAATGTTGAAAAACTCTGAGATCTTCTTGGAGAAAATAAATTACAATTTTTAAAAAAATACCTATATATGAGGTTAGGAAAGCCGCGATTATGTTATGTGTCAGGAACATCTATAATAAATAGCATATTTCTTCCTTCTCTATCCTTCTTCTTCCCACCTTTTTATCTTGAAACCAGTTATTCTTCATGATAACCTATGGATACATTTTTAAGAAGTTCCCAAATGCCTTGCCATTAGAAGCAAAGTGTTTGTGCATATGGAGTAGGGGTGGTGGTATAATTTTCTTAAACACTTGAAACAAGCCATCAACAAAGAGGAAACAACAAAAGTCTCCTCTAAACAGATTATGACGGAAGGTGAGTGCTATGACCTGAAAGTCTGTGTTCCTCCGAAGTTCCTGTGGTGAAACCTAACCCCCAAAGTGACCATACAAAGAGATGGGGCCTTTGGGACATAACTAGGTCCAGAGAGTCCAGCCTTTGGTAGAGCCTTGTTTGTGCTCCTGTAACAAAGGCCTGAGTGAATGTGCTCCCTCCTCCCATCATCTGATGACACCTAGTGGGCACATTTTATGAGGAAAAGCCCATCATCAGACCCTGAACCTGCCGGCTCCTTGGTGTTGGATTTTGCAGCCTCCAGAAGTGGAATGCATTTCTGTTGTTTGGAAATCCCATGCTCTGTGATATTTTGTTGTAACAGTCCAGACATACTGAGATGCTGGATAAAATGAAGTTCAAGGTCCGCATTCTGAACATGAAGCTATGTTCACAGAGGAGACAGTGCACATCTTACAGCCTGGACACTGGCTAGTATTTTGAATACCACCTTTGTGCCACATAATGACATTTTATTCAATGATAGACCATGTAGATGACGTTGATCCCATATGGTTATATTGCTTTGTGACGCCATCTTAGTTTATATAAGTGCACTACATGTACATACAATAACAAAATTGCCTCAGGATGCATTTCTCAAAATATATTCCCATCGTTAAGCAATGCACACAGTATTCTAAAGCCTGAAGATGTGATGTGGGAAATAACCTAAATGTAATGGTACCTTCCAAATGCACTGTAATGCAAATTGTTCTAGAGGTCAGGGAACAGAAGGGCTCATAGGCCCTAAAGATGTATAAAGCACAAGGTTTATCGTATCAACTAGCATCCCACAGTAAGAGGGAAGAGGAAAAACATGGAATTTATTGACCCATTGAGGTAAGAAGAGTGAGAAGCTCACACCAGTTGAATATTTGGTAATATTCAGGCATCCTTTTCTTGCCTCTACCACATCCTCCTTCCCTGGTGATGATATTACAAGCTCCAGAATTGAGATTTGAACATGGTGGCAACAGACAGTGGGAGCCATTGAGATGTGCTTGTCCCATCTGAGAGAAGTAAGGAGCAAGTAGTTGAAAACCATCAATTAACCCCAATGAACTGCTATTGGTGCCAGAATGCATACCACCCTGTGGTAAGCAAATCAAGCTATAATGAGTAAGGAATGTCTCCTATCTCTCATATGTGTTTAGTGAATGATAAATATATATAGTGTTATCTTAGTCTTTCTGTTGCTCTCCATTTTTTGTTCTAGTTGATCTGTCTTAAAGATTTATTACTTTGCTGTTAAACACAACATATGCACTTCATTCACCCAGCTGGTTTTCCTGGCTTCCAGAGAATATTTCTGAACAATACAGCAAACGCACATTCCAGAATGGAACATTGATTGGCCTTGAACATGGTTGCCAAGGTAGCTTGGATGATTCCAAATCAGAGAAATATGGTTTCTGCTTCATCGTTCACCAGTTGTCTATAGCTTGAGGAATGGATATCTCTGAGTTTTATTGACCTACAGTTTAATCATTGCAGGGATACATAGCACAAGTGTCGAAAGACATCTCTCTATTGTAATGTGTAACTCCATACCTCTTGGCCTTCAGAAGAGATGCACCAAGCAGTTGGTTGATGTCAGGCCCGTTTGGAAACAGGAGTTGGCTAGTCTCTGAGTCCTTAAATACAGTCAGAAAATTATGGGAGGGGCTAGGAAGATCTAAATGTACTCCCTTCAAAGATTTTATTTTTATTTCAAAGAGAGAGAGGGAGAGAGAAATAGCTTCCACCTGCAGGCTCACTCTCCAAATGCCTGCGACAAGCCAGGGTTGGGCCAGGACAAATCCAGCAGATGGGAGCTCCATCACGGATGGCAGAGACCCACGTTCTTGCGTCACCACCTGCTGCCTCCCGGGGTGCACACTAGCAGGAAGCTCTAGTGAAAGTGAACCCAGGCACTTAGATATGGAAAGCAGGTATCCCAAGCTGTCACAATGTCTGTCCCTACTGTGCTCTAAAGTCCCCAAATATGGGCTTTCTCAGGCCCCCTTGCATAAATAGAATTCACTCTTCTCTCACCCTTTTTGTGACCACAGATGATCCTTTTAGGCATTCCAGCTATGGCCCCCATTAGACACAGGCATCTCTCCCTCCAACCAGACCCTCTCCCAGAACTGCTCTCTGAAAGAGTGCAGAAAAACACAACAGCCCTACTTTATTGATTTTATTTCCATTTTTTATTGAAAGCTTCATCAAAGAAAACAGAAATTTAAACCTAACATCCACTGATCTACAGAAAGCCCAAGGAATTGGGGAAATGGTATCTAATTTGACTGTGATACAGATGAAAAAAATTTTTAAATGAAACCAGAAACACCATAGAATTACAGAACATTCCATGACAGTCAGAGACAGCAGTACAAAAATGCTTTTAAATAAAATTTAAAATAGAATGATGTTTCAGAAGTCCCATGAAGTTGAATATGGCCAGAAACTAGAGTTTTAAAAGAAGCTGTGTCCCTTTTCTTTTTTTCTTTTAAAGAAACGGAGTATTTCATTGCAAATGCTTTCCATATATTCTTTTGAAGGTAAGATTCCAATTACATTCTTCTTTTTGAAAAATAAATGCAAGAATTTGACTCCATAATGGAGGATACATTTTCGAATGTCTCTTTGAAGCAATGTTTGTAGCTCCTGAAAAGCAAGAACTAACTCCTTTTCACATCTTGGGGAAAGAGGACAGAGCCTCTTTCTTAATACTCAGAGAACAGAGGGTTTAAAATACAAAATATTACCCTGAAGTTACACTTTGGACGGTTATTAAATTTGATGTTATCATCAACATTTCCACTGGAGGGTCAAAGTTGGTCAGCCTTCATACAGTAATGCAAAGTCAAAACATAACAGAAACAATGTCTTTTTTCTTGTCAAACCTTTAAGAGAGGGGTAAGAGTGTACATCTAACCAAGAGTTGCTATTACATTCTCATAACAGAAACTGGGCTCAGCTTCCCTACATTCAGTAGAGTGAATGAAACCAAAATAAAGCCAATTGTTTTTTTGTTTTGTCTTTTATATTCTGCAACAATATAGCCAACTCTCAATTATTTGTGGTTGATGGGAAATGGACATTATAGCCCACCAAAATCCACAGAATGTGATGTGCAGACATATAATTTAACAGTGATTGCAAGCTCCCTAAAAAAAAAAAAAAATCAATGTTAAACAAGAAACAAAATAGACTGATTTCAATTTATATTTCCAATTGTTTCTTTTTCTACCTTCAGGGTGAAATGCTAATAAAAAGAAAACAGCCCAAGGCCTAATGATTGAAAAGAGAAGACAAAACACACCCATCAAGCAAGTAGCCCTTCAAAAAATGAGAGTGGTTGTATTTTTACACAACTCAGAATATTAAGAAAAGCTCAAAGGTGAATCAGTGGCTTAGTGATATTTCACTCAGACTCCAAACTTTATCCCACCTTGGCTTCAAATTCAAACCTTCCGGACTAGAAGAAACTTTTCTTGATACAGTATTTTCCATCTCAAGAGCAAACAAAAATGAGTATCGGTAAGCCAGCCATCTACATTTGTGAGACACTGAGCATCTGTGTGTTGGGGTATGAAAGCAAGTCTAAGAGAAATCATTGACCTGGGGTAAGCACACATGATAAAATGCTTGAGCCACTTGGAGGTTTAGCTTTGAGCCTTTCTACTTTCCTGAACTCTACAGAATCCACAAAGGACAGCCATGACCAAGAGCATTTAGATGAAGGGACCGATTTCATATTTAAGACTATTTGGTAAGAAATGTTAAACTTGCATCAGACTCAACTGTCTCCAAATACCAAACTGGATGTCATTTGTAAAATGAATTGATTCATTGATGAAATCCCATTACCACTCTGTCACAGGAAAGGTACAGCGCACAGAATCAATGAGCTCGTGTAAATTCCATCAGTCCCTCCGACGGAAGTGAGAGGTTGTCAGTTCCAGGAGCTCAAAATTTTGAAGCATGCCCGCCGCAATAACATGGAAAACAAAATCTCATTCTTCACTGCCTACTGTGGACAAAATAATAAAGCTTGGGCTTCTATACCATGTTTAAACTTTATTACAATGTAAGACTCCTTGAATGTGCTGGGTGTTGTTATACATGTACATAAATATTGTTTCTTCACTTGATTTGAATTCATATAAAAACATTTATAACTGAAAACCACTTCAGAATTTTTCTCTGCTTATCTGTAGTGTGGTTCATGTTTTCAACTTAAGAGTGAGACTGGATTGTCAAATGTATTTTTAGTCTCTTATTAACAGCATAATCTGTCTAGACAGTCCATTGAGACTTTTCCAGTATGAGGAAGCCTGCAAGGGTCCTATTTAAATCAAATTTCACTTTTCCTTAATGGGGATTGCAGGCCACTATGAAAGATACGCAGGTAGGTAATAGACATTCCACTACCCAAATAAAATATTTTTGGAGAACCTCTGGTCATAAATGAAGTAAAAGTCAATTCAAAGCCATTCTGCAATGCGGTCAATGACACGCTTTGAAATCGTAGTGAAATAATGCCTGCTCCATCCACCCTTGAGCACCCAGTCTTCCTTCCCTAGGGGAGCACTCTTACACAACATAGTTTTTCGCTAGACAGGGATGGAAGTGACGTATGCTGCAAATATGGCAGGTCTGCTCATGTCCCAAGAATGATTAATTCAGGGAAATATGGAGACAATATTCTGAACTGTTGAAACATACCAAGGAAACAAACTAATCCTGGCCAAACTGGAGTCAGGTAGAGAATTTTTCATTGTTTTTTTAGAATATCCGGTCACCTGCAATATTCAAGACCTGTAGGACAAATCATAACCAGCACCTGCTACTGTTGCTTTTAGTTCACTGAGGATGCTTTATATGGCCTTTGAAAGACATGTTATAATTGGGGGACCTTCTCTCAATAATAGCTTATCATTATTAACTGAAAATCTACTCTTCCAATGACCAGGTAACTAGGGTTTGGAAGAGATGGTGTTGATCTCAGTTGGATTGTGGCTTTAGTTTGTTTCCTGATATTTAGGCTAAATTAAAGTCAAAAGAAGAAAATCATATATCCAAATAAATGCTTGAAAACTGCATATATCAGAATAAATGGAAAATTAACTTGAGCTTAGAAGATGACTATAGCTCTCAATAGGATAATATCATCAAAACATATTGGTCAAATTAGTATTCTGACATCGCTGTGTTGAACAGTCATTTGTTGCTTTCATTTTTCATACAATCTGATGCTGCTCACCTGTTGATTCTTGCATTGTCCCCCAAACTTGACACTTGAAAACATTTCTTAGGTAACATGATAGATAAAGGGGGCAAATGGGATTATGTGCAAATTTCCTCCCCGCCTTTTTTCTTTTTCATTTGAAATAACATATTTTATAAAATGGCGTGATATAAACTACCCAAACACAAAACACACATAGACACATACAGTGACAGGTAGAGTCATTTCCTTCTACCTTAAATGACTTAAAAAAATTGAGATTATTGAAATTTCATAGTTGAAAAAAATGTTTCTGAATGTATAAATAAATCATCTGCTTTGAATAGAAACAGGAAGTTACCTAGGCACATTCATCAGCCACATGGTAGCTACCTCTTAGCCTCATTGTGGATTGTGTAAATGAGGCTTTCTTTGTATCACACTAATATATATGTAGGTTTTTAGGATTTTGTTTTCTGTTTTTACAGAAACAAAAGAAAGCACATTGCTTTCATATTCAAATGAAATATGCCCAGGATAATTATTTATACAAAGAGTTTAGAAAGTGAAAAAAAGAAACAAAATATGGTTCTCATACATGTATTCTTATACCCTGTGTAACTTGAGCCCCCCCTTTTCAAAGATAAAACATCAATGCCACACTTACATTACAAGGGCAGCTGGAAGATGAAACAGAAGAAAAGCATAAATCTAGGATTCTCTCTACAGCACAGAAAACCAACAGGATGGGTGTGGCCATGTAAATTTCTCTGTAGCATGTATCACATTTTCTTTGTTACACTTTTGCTTCATTGATTGCCAAGACATGGAGTCACTCTCTAGATTGGAGCTTACAATTCATGGGGTTGCAAATAAGAGAGCCAGAGTCTATTTCAATAGTAGAATACTGGCAATTTCACATGAATCAACTTCTATGCCTAATGGGGATACGGTTTACCTTTTAAATTGTTTAATTTTTAAACATTTACCCGGTTTTACATTGCTGTAAATGCATTTCTCTCTTCCTTATGGGCTAAGGAACATTTCTGTGAGTTATCTAGTTTGTAGAAGAGTTTCACCTATTGGATTCAAATGACTCATTCACAGTGCCATTCTAGTGAGTCATTCAATTAGCAAAGTTGTGTTCCATTGTCCATAATTTTAGGTAAAACTGTACACATTAAGGAATCAAAAATGTAGAGATGTTTTCTAAGTAAGTCAAATCATTTTTAGATAAAGTTCTGTATCATTCTAAATGCAAACATACCTCCTTTGGCTTTAAGGATTGATCAAACCTAATTCTTTTGGTTCTCTGATATGAATCATACAACTGCTTGATTGTCAACTAGCATTTTAAGAACTTTCCTAACTTCTACTCATACAATCCTCAATTTGATTAGTCCTACTTGCCTCAGAGAGTTAAACTAAAAGAAAAAAAGTTCTATTTTGTCTTTTTCTCCTGGTAACATCAAGATGCGAACACACCATGAATAGAGGCAAAAGGAAGGTAGCCCTCCCCAGTTGTGGAATCAAGGTGGCTATGCATAGTGGATAATGACAAAGACTGAGGGGAGGACATGACAAAACCAAGGGGATTTAGAGTTTAGGAGGAAGACAATTGTTCCAAATGCTATGAGATCTTTTCAGGAGACCACCCACCATTGCACAGAACATCACAAAGCATTTCTGACAAGTGACCTTTAAGACCAGGATCAAGAATTAGCTTTAGTTCAAAATTCACATAAAGAAATTTCAACCTGTTCAAGTGTCTTGGCTTATTGGTGGCCACCAATACAGGTTTCTAGCAAGGAACCAGAAAAGCTCATGGAACTTTAAGCCGCTTGATATCCGTTTGTATCCAGAATTCTTCATGCTGGAACTGCTGAATGTAGCAGGTGCAAGCTTCTACTATCAATGAACACACATTAAAAGAAAACAAAGCTTTTTTTTTTTTTTGCAGTATGTAAAACACCAGTGGAAGGTAGTTAAACAAACAACGAAGAACTGGTCCGGCCATGTAGGTCAAATAAAATTTTAAAAAAAGGAAAGAAAAGATAAACAACCTCTATCTTCTGGACTGTAATAGGGTGTCACTCCATCTTTGGTATAAAATAGGCCATCCATAGGCTGAATTTGATCACAACTAGGAAAGACTACAGAAATTGTCAACAATTTCTCTATCTATTGCTTTTTTTGTTTTTTTTTTTTTTTGCACTTTTTGACCATAAGCTCCTATCTACTTAAGTTTTTTTTTTTAATGCTCTTAAGCTAGGTTTTGCAATGTGACAAGCAAAGCTGACTAAAAACTTTGTAAAGCTCATAAAAAAGACTGCAGATAAAAAGCACTAATGCTTTTGCTAGCGATCACGCTTCGTAAATAAAAAAAATCTGCATTCTGCCCCCCAAACACGCATTATTTCTAATGCAGTTGTTTTTAAACCAACATTAATAACTTTATCATAAAATGTTTTAGCCTTCTAGAATGATTCGTGTCAACACTTAAGACAAAGTTCATGGAAAGTCCCAGCATTTTCCCAATTCTTGCAGTTGCCATGGTTTCTTTTATCAACAAATTTTCTTCAAATGAAGAAAAACATTTTCTTTTAAACTGTACAGTTTTTTTCACCCTAAAAACTCATAGTCTTAAACTTCCGTACCAGTTAAAGCTGGCACAATATTTCAATTCTTTCTTGATTTTTTTTAACAAGACGTTGACAGCTTGCCTCGAGAGCCTTTGACGTCCTTAAAATTAAGGCAATTAAGATTCAAGATAAACCTTACCTAAATATTTCTAAGAAAAAATAAAATAATAAAAAAAACCCACCAGGTTTAAACAAGAAAAGAGAAGAGAGAGACAGAGTAGCTTAATTACTGAGGGAGACAACTTTTTTTCATTTGTGTTTGCCTACCTCTTGACATCAGGTTTCTTGTTTAAAAAAAATCTATCTACACCTTCAGGTAAATTCTGAATTCAAATATTCTTCTGGATAACACGTCAATGTTTTGTTTTGTTGATTTTTTTTCCCTCTTCTGGGAATTTTTTTCTTTTAATTAAAAAAAAATAACATTGCAAAAATAAACTGTCAGACCACATGAAGGAACCATTTGCACAGCACATAAAAACTTTGTTTTCATTAAGTAAAGTATAAAATTAAAAAAAAAAAACAAACACAAAAAGCCTTCTTTGACGCCTGTGCAAACTGGAAGCCAACTTCTTGTTCAATGAAGTTTCTTCATTCAAGGCAAAGTTTTGACGGACATTCTTCAATTCCGTTTATGGTCTGTGAAAACAATTGGGCAAGAGTGGTCGTTACATCAAAGCAACTTAGAAATTACCTTCTCTGTTCACTCCCAGCAAGGTCTCTTTAAAAGACACCACACTCTTTTAATGTCACACGATCCTGGAAGCAATTATATGAAGCATATTGTTCCTGTGACATTGTCAAATTCTTCTACTTCCACACAAATAAATAGTCAAGTCAGAGTTGCCTCACATTAAAAAGCAAGAGGAATAGATCAAGAATACCATTCCCTTCTAAACCAACAAATATCATAAGTGTCCAAATATACAGACACCTGATACCCCAAAGAGCAGAGAATCCAGTTTGTCATTTCTGGCTTACGTTCTAGCTCTGTAAAGATTCCTGGAGTAGTTGTGCCCTCTCAGAGCTGAGACTGAGCACTAACTGAGGGAACGCATGCGTGGTTCCAAGATATCTGGGCTCTGTGTTATCATGTAGTATCCACCAAATACACTTACAGAAACCTTACTGGCCCAGAAGGTGACAGTGAAAAGGGCGATGAAGTTTCATTCTTTATCTTTCTTCCTCTTCTCTTTTTCTTGCTCATTTCTCCTCATTAAGAGGATAAATTCTTGGGAGGAGGGACCAAATATTTCATTTCTCCTTTTCACTGTCCAGGAATCTTGCAGAGAGCTATGTGCATGACAGGTGTTTAACTGGACACATGTCCTTAATGATATATCACTCTGTTTAGCCCCGCCCAAAAATTCTGTCTTGCTGCTTCCCCATCTATATTGTAGGATGACGCTTCTAGTTGGTTGACCTTTACTCGTATCTCTTCTGCCTACAAATCAGGATTCTGGTAAATAATTTTAGAGTTCTGCTATAACAAGTAGGACCTCCAAACTACTTGTAGGCCACACGTTGATGAAGGCTTCTTTCCTGAGGACTCAGCCTGGCAGAGAAAACTCTGCGAAATCTTCTGTTGCCCATTTGCTTATTTAGTAAATAAGACTCAGGATTGCAGTGCAGAGTTGTACTATGTGCACTGTGTGAGACACATGGCTGAGGGAGGAGAGGATATGTTGCAGCCCACCCACTGTCTGCTCCCTAAGCTATAAACTCTACTGTAAGGCTAAATGTGCCCAAGAAAGTAGGTGGGTCTTATTCAAATTCACAAAGAAAGCCCTCAACAATGTCTTTAAACTGTATGATATTCAGCCAGTGATGTCTGAAAAAGGTCTTCTTGTCCTAATTTTCAGAAAGCAGTCCTAAGAGCAACTATGGACACTAGTTTATTAGGATCCTGATTAATCCATTCCTAAAATTATGAAAGGAATGTGACTAGTTGATGGGCAAAATATTTGAACTGTTTTCATTAATTTGTCTATAGAATTATATTATGTGCATGCATACAATATAAAATTTGTTAATGTAATTCTAGAGACTTAATAAATACTCAGTTTACATGTAGATGTTAATATGATTAATATGTTTAATTGCATGTAAATGAATAGATATTTCTTTGTGTCATGAAAAAGTAAAATTTTTCTAAAAAGGAGTACAATCATAATTTTCATAATTGCGGAAGTAATTAGATAAGTTTTATTATTAATAGTCATGAGTATCATATTTTTCACTATCTTCAACTTTGCAAATACACACTTGCTTCCTTTATTTCTAGAAATCTACTTTGCAATGGCACACAAGCTGTTTTTTTTTATTTTGTGTTTTTGTCTCTTTTCATCTGTTCTTTGTTCCTCCTCCACTCTGTCCCCTGTATCATGCAACTGAGCAGAAAATGCCTGAAAAACCATGACTCCCTTTACAGCTGCTCAATCAATGGTGTCTTACTCAACGGACCACAGTGACACAGAAGACTCACTGCGCAGTACTTGGTATGCACTAATCTCACATGCATCAATATTTATGAGCTTGGTTGGAGCTACTTTTAGGCTTTATAACCTTATATGACTGTTTCTCAGTAGTTTTCTCCCATAATTTCCTTGGTCCTTAAAGGGTCTCCTTACGATATGAAAATAAATGAGGAGAAATAAATGACTTTACATGTTCATGGTTACTAGCTGAGGTTTGAAGGGAAAAATGCTGCTATCTAACATAACTGAATTTATTCCTGCCTACCTTCTCTGCCCTAGATGAAGTGAGAATGTGTGCATTTACATAATGACTATGAATCACACCGATATTCATAAAAATAGAAGAGTCCTAAATTTCCAAGGTTGTGATCATTAGCAACAAGAATGCTGAAGTTGGATCATGAGAGTGTTCTAGAAATAAAATGAGTTGCAATTTAGAGTAACTCATGGGAAAGAGATAATGAGTACGAAAACCATTTGCAAACTGTAAACACTGTTCACATAGAATGTGGTATTACAAGAAAAATGGGTGCAACAATAATGTATTGACAGCACGTAGGAATTGGGTGTTCCTGGCACTCAATTAGCCATTGCAGATTTGAAGTACCAAAGGAGCTTGCAATATGGGATTGATAAAAGGGCCTTCAATGGCCAGAGTAAGTATCTGTGGACTGGGAACTTGACTGAATGGAAGGTCATAGAGTCATTTTGAATTCTCTACTCATCTCCACTCCCAAAAAAAGCAGAGTGAGTAGATTGGGAAGTGGCAAACTTCAATCTTAGAAATCTAGTCTTCTAGAGCTGGTTAAGTCTTAAGAGATCACCTAAGGATGCAATCAATGTCTCCCAGAGTATCAGATTCATGTGTGCTATGGAAAAAGAGTCTGTAGGCCAGAGTTTAGGAAAAACTCCACATTATATTCCCACTACTGGATTACATAGGAAACTAAGAATTTGGCCAGGGCACCAAAAAGAAGGATGCTAAAAAATGTTTTTGTAAAGAACATAATCTCTTACATCAGTATCAAAATAATCAAATAATCAATGTGTAGACTACCAAAATTTTGTGAGATTCTTTAATAATTTTCTATGTTTTAATAAATTCTTTGAATTCTGTAGAATGAAGGATGCACCTAAGCTAAGCTTTCAGGATTTATTTAGAAATTAAAGTATTTATCTGACCTTCTAATTAGCTCTGTATATTAGTGTTGTATTTTCATGGCTTTGAAGAGGAATGCAATTAAGAAAAGCATTTGACTCTCTTCATAGTGATGTATCTCAGTTGAATTCGACTCCACTCCTCCAAATCTTGCAGGTGAATTTTCCCTTAGCACTAGCAACCTAAATTATGCTGTGGGGAACAATTGCTTAAGCCTCTCACTTAAAGAAGAGGAAAATGAGACTTCAATGGTTGAGTGACAAGTAGGAAGCAACAAAACTAGCATGTGAACCAAGGACTGCAGATTCTGCATATTAGAATTTAACTCTGCTTGAAGACTTTTAGACCATTCAGATCCTGGTTATGTTTAAGGTTTCTCACACAGCACAAAGAAAAATAGATAGCTTAGATGGGAATTAGAATTCCCATAGAATTTCCCAAACACTGTTCAGTTATCATTTGTTCCTTCTTCAAACAGAGCCCAGAGTCCATTTTGCACTAATGACTTCTTTTACCAATGAAGGGGAAATGCACGCATACAAAATACAAAGTCCTGTGTTGAACTTGGGAAGTAGAATTTTGAATATTAAAATACTGTTTATAGAACCCCCAAATAGCCCCTTTATTCCCAGGAACATCATTTATATTTCTCAAACTTCTCTCCTACAATCTTCTGTTGTTATGTCTTTAATTTACAATATCTTCAGAAAAGATATTAGGGGTTAAATACATGTGTGAAGGGTCAAGCTACTTTTCAGGGACTGCCCTAATCAGAGTTTCACACACCACAGGAGGTCAGCTAGCATTTAATGAGAAAGGCCAGAGGTTGATACAAGTACTTCAAGCTCTTCATATCTCAATTAGCATAATTATTGTTAGAAATGGATTGCCCATGAAAGTGGTGACATGTTAATTAGCATAATGATGCTGGAAATGAGCTGCCATTTGTGCAATTTGAAGGATTCAAGATAACATGGATTGGCTATATTTCTGTAGAGAAAGTCCTCATTCTACTAGAGCAGGAAAGTATATTTAGACCATAGAGAAATCTGTAGTCTGTAAGTAATTTTAGGATATTGCTTGAGGCTTTGAGATGGAGGAATGAGGCAGAAAGATTAGGTAGGAATAGTCCCTGAAATATTGTTCCCACAATTTCTGCCAGTCCTGCATTGTAAGGACACACCTCAGCAGCCAATCTAGCCCAGCCACCTTCCCTAATACATACATCTGTAAGGTGGAGGTGGCATTATGGTCATGTGGAAGGTTAGCTCCACATGGAAGCACCAGGATGAGACTCTCATGCACTAAAGCCACCCAGACTCCACCAATTTGTGTATTTAAATAGGAAGCTACCCTTTGTCCCATAAAAGTGACTGTTAGCATGTGAGAACAACCATTTTGCTTTTGGGCTTCTGGCCCTTGTTTTTGGGTTCTTCTCTGGTCTCCTCCCAGGCTCTCTCCTCACAGTCCACTCTCTGGCCCATTATGATGCATATCTCTCCTTGTGGAGTTGCTCACACTCACACTTCAAAGTGCATTCACTCTCTCACGTTTAAAGAAACCCTGCTTTCACTTGTGCACTGACTCATGGCTCTGCTTTGAATTCTTATCTCCGTGAGGGCAAGAACTTAGAATAACAATTGGACACATCATCCTATAGCCCTTTGACCTCAAATCAGGACAGCCATCAAGTAGATTGCTGGTGGCATCTATAAGGATGACAGTTCTACTTCTTAAAAACAGTAAAATGTAACCCCAGTGCATATTTCATATAAGGTATGGTCAGATAATTTAAAAGAACAGAGTGGAAACTTTGTGTACAGAACAAGTTGCATATACTGTTTCCTAATGTCTGTTGAATGATGTCTCTGTGGGTGCCCTTGCATCCCTCAAACTTTTCCCAGTGCTGATCACCTAGGAAAAAGAACCCAGTTACTGTAACTCAAATTCTCAGTTCAACTCCTTGTATTTTTATTGGATGCTTCCTAAGAATCTCATGTCTT